TCGATGGCGTGTTTATCCTTTGGATGTTTGTCGAGTTCATCCATCGGGTCGAGGAGATTGGCGAGTTGTATCTTTGAGTTGTTGATGTTTCAACTGAACTAACGTTTTGAACTCCTGTGCTAGTGTTACTACTAGCTCCCGTGTTTCCAGTACGTGTTCCAGAATTTTTAGCACTAACTGCAGTGGTACTGACAACTGCAGTGCTAGAACTGACAACTACAGTGCTACTAACAACTGCAGTGCTAGAACTGACAACTGTGCTAGAACTTACAACTGCAGTGATAGAACTAACAACTATGCTAGAACTGAACAACTGCAGTGCTAGAGGAGTTGGAGCTGGAGCTGGTGGAATATAGTTTACCTGATGAGGTAGCGGTGGCGTTTCCAGTACCTCCACTGCCTGCTGTGCCGCCTGAAATAGTCGTGGAAGTATTCGCCAGAGTAGTTACACCTGTAAAAGTCGTAAGAATAGTTACATTGGCAGATATTGAGGTGGTAAACAATCCCGCAGCACTGCTTGACGTGCTCGAGCTGTTAGAAAAGGTCTTACCAGTAAGTAACGTGTTAAGAGTTCCAGTCCCAGTCCCTCCAGCACCTCCACCGCCTCCGCCGCCCGAGGTAGTTGCTCCACTGCCTGTTGTGCCGCCTGCACCACCATTGCCTCCGCCGCCCGAGGTAGTCGCTCCACTGCCTGTTGTGGTGCCTGCACCACCATTGCCTCCGCCTCCCGAGACCGTGGAAGCAAGAATGGTAGATAATCCCGTAGCACCGCTGGAAGTAGTAGTAGGCGACGAAATAACCGCACAGTTTGATGTGTTGATGGTGTTAGTATCGAGAGTAACGGCTCCGGTAAGGGCAAACAGGCCTCCGCTGTCCGTGGCACCGGTCCCTAACGTGATACTGGTTTGTGCAAAGATGTTTCCCTGGAATGCTGTGGTGGTACCTAGGGTAGCAGAGGAGCCGACTTGGAAGAAGACATTGCATGCTTGTGCGCCGTTGGTGAGAACTATGCTGGAGGCCGTTGCGGTGGTAAGTGTCGAGCCGATCTGGAAGACGAAGACGCTGGTTGTTGTGCCGCCGCCATCGAGGGTCAATGTTCCAGTGAGTTGGGCGGAGGTTGCGAAGGTATATGTCCCACCTACAAGGGTTAGGCCACCGAGATCTTGGCCTGTAAGAGTCGCGGTTGAGGCAAGGCCGGCAAGCATCGTGTACTCTGTACTTGCGTCGGCTTGGCCCTGCATGGCGACGGCGTCATCGTTGTGTATAACGCCGTTGACCATAACCGCCGTAAGTCCTGTGATGGATGTTCCAGGGTAAATGCCAACATCGCCATTGATGGTAGTTGGGCCCGTGTTGGTTATCGCAGATGCTCCCAGCACGCCAAAATAGGCATTGGCCCTGAGGATGTACAGACTGCTGAACAGCAGAATGGATGAGAGGTACATATTATACCGATCTTATCAGCTGGCTATTCTGGCAAAAGAGAGCGAAATCGAGTTATAAAGTCTACTGACTGACGCATAATTCTCTCTTTATAGAAAAATCATGCTGTCAAGGGACTGTGAGCCGTTCCATTCTCCATTTAGATCGATGTTATGATCGCGACATGCAGATCGCTCTTAGAAAAGGGCAGAAGGAAGCAAGGGATCTGTTGAGCCGACCAAGGTTGGAGGTGAGTCCATTGGGGGTGGTTGTCACTGGTTGAGATCTAGACCGGGTGTACTCGAGTGTGTAACTTTGTGAAAAACCTAGTTTTAAGATGAGGCGTTCTCATTTTATCGAATCAATCTGTAGCGCCATTAACCCTCATTTCCATAGGGCGTGTTCCTAGCCTATAATAAAAGATCAAAGGAAATGAGGGAATGTTGTAAGGGATGAGGAATTGAACGTATGCTAATTTATAGAGGGCCTGAGGCATCACTATGCTTAGTTAGTACGGGGGAGGGAGGCTAGATAGGTGTGACGAATTGCACCCGATATCAAGGCTTGGCACGTGGTGCCTGCGCACACTATGGATAGGCATGGACTAGTGAAGTGTTACTGTACATGATTAATAGCTAAGATTAGGTTTATTTCTTAAGAGATAGTAACAGCCGAGGAAGGACGGCTTATTGTACAAGGAGCAACTGGGAAAAGATATCAAGACTTTACTTAAGCGACGACCCTCGATGGTTTTGCCTTTAGTCTGACATAAGAGACTATGAATATTAGAGACACTACTTTATACAATAGTCAAGCTCTCACGTGTAAAGCCTTGAAAATTGTTCTCATAAAGCCTATAGAAAGATCCAACCCGGCGATATCGTATGCTTTTCTTTATTCGAGATGAGAAGTCCATCGATCACCGGCATAAATTGCATGTTCCCTCCCTCATAAGTTCGTCTTGCGATTGCCAAGCATTTCAAATCCCCTTCCTGTGTATCCGGGTCATCAAGGATCGCACACATTTCTTGGTCCACGGAGGAAGCACTCGAACTAGACATCGATGACCACCTAAAAGACTGTGGTCCTTCAAAATGGCCACTACGGATATATGCTTCCATTCTCAACTCACAACTTCTGAGTCTGTCAAGGGGAAGTGCCTCGTTGTCCAACAAAACATCGCAGCTTATAATACTAACATGATATAATTTGAAAGTATGCATGTGGTGGAAATGGTGATAGTAAACTGGACAGTCAAGTGACGCCCAAGACCAGCTAGGCGCAATATGCGTAGAGGAAGCAGCGTAACCCTTGCGTGTTGTAACCCAGAGAAGCAGCCTTGCAAGCACTTCTCCAGACCAAAGTCCCGCAATATAATCGCCAGGGTCGTGGGAGGAGAAAGCTTCAGCAATGCCAGCCAGCGCTGTCAATTTATCCTCTTAGAAAGAAAGTCGCCTCTGAGAGTACATTCGGACGATATCCACCCATGCTCTCCCAACTGCCTGATCTCGGATATCTTACGAGACACCATCCAAAGTTCCAAGAAAGCTTCGCGATTCAAGGTGGGCTAGTGCATTGATCGAGTTTCCAAGATTCACGGTTTGCTCGCGGCACAGGTACTGAAAGGTATGAGTAGCATATATAAGTAGTCGTGGAGAAAAGCTGTTCTTGCAACGTCCAAGCTCTTGAACTTATGGGCTCTTCCTCATCATTGTAAAGTTCTTCGGCTCTTAAGTACACAGACGTCAGAGTGTCATCAGGAGCCCAGAAAGGAATCTGAACAGCTGGTTTTGGCGGATTGCGATCTTCAAGAAAGCCTTGAGATCGCTGGTCGCACTTGCTGCGACAATCGTCACCGTCGCTTGCTGATATAACCTACACATAAGCTAGCTCGATTACTTTGTCGTTGGCAGAGTCTTGGAGGATGCGGACAGCGTCGATCCAAAGATATTTTATACCTAGCCACCTCGTTACAATTATCGCGTCTCGAGAACTTTGTGACAGCGCTCTCAGATCTAGCTGTTGTTTTCGCATTTCCAAATTACCAGTCGTCGTAAGGCCTATCTGATCCAGTCCCCAACAATATGACAAAGCGACATATAATCTGGTTGCTCCTTTCGTCTCGACGAGTTTTGGCATGTCCGGATGATCGGCAGGGCTAACATCGATTACTCTTGTCGGCAACATCAAAGGCATCACGCTTGGGCAAGTTGCATGCCGAGGTACTGATAAACCACGTTATATTAAATTGTTTAGTGATATTACGGAGCTTTCTTTTACAGGTTACATACCCACTTAGTAAAATATATTGCTGCGTGGCGCAGGGCCGAAGGATGTTAGTCGGTCTTCCTTTGTGGCTCCCTCCGCTTATTTTTAGTATACTGCAAGCAAATGTCCTACTTATATAAGCAATTATTATCGATTTGTACTTAGATAAGTTCCGCTTTACTAGATTTACTCGCCTATCCTATTACCTAAGTAGCTTGTCGGAGCTAAGACACACAAGAGGTGGAGGGAGCGAGGAGATGGGTGTTGCGGCGAAGAGGGTGTTATGATTTGAACCGGTCGAAGGAAAATATGCCACTATTTCAAAGGCTGTCATGTATGATCTGAAGATTGAGAGTGGAACATACGCTGTAGATTTAATGAAAATCATTGCATTTTCTGCCAAGAGCTCGAACTAGTCCTTTAGAATTAAGGTCGCAGCGAAGGCAGAACTTGCTATCAGCAGGAGTTTCACGATGTTCGATTGAAGTAATAGACAACTAGGGCAATTCGTAAAGTGCTATTTCCAAGACTCCCTATTTTAAAGCAGTTGACCAACCCCGCGTGGGGTAGCAAAGCTCATTCCTTGCTCGCCCCAGTAGCTAAAGCATAGCATGACGGAAAGTTTCTATTGCGAGGGTTGTGGAGGTAAATGAGACGGGGGGGGGGGGGGGGGTAGTTTCAGCTTGAGGTATCAGCAATGAATTTCTGGGACGTGTAAAGGAGGGGAGTATCTAAGGAGAATGCCTTGCAACAAGCGGATGAAGTGATGGGAATCTTCGTAAGTGGAAGTGGAGCTGAGCTGCCCCTCGTTGAGCTGCAGGGAAACCGTGGTGAGGACTTCGTAAACCCTGCACTGTAGTAAGCATACTTGGATAATACTCGTGCCAAAATGTATGGGATGGTAGAAAAGGGCCATCGGCCTCGTATGCTTAAGCATAAGCATCACAATACCAATGCATTGAGTAAGTCACAAGTGAGTTCATTCATATGCTTCCTAGGTAAGCATCCAAACACCTTTTCCCACACCTCAAACTCCAAGCCATGCTCCGCTTCTAAACTCCCGTACTCCAGGTATCCGCTGTGCTTTTAACATACTCATCATCCTTAGTTCTTTAATTTTAGACCCATATCCCTTTCTAGCTTGTCTACTAAGACCTTCAGCGAGCTGGTGGCAACGTTGCGCTCCAGAGCCCGGTCTGGGAAATCGACCAATACAACTTTCAGCGCCGCAATTGCAGCAGTGCCATAAAATCTCAAGAACATCGCTTCGTAATTCTCGACCATCGCTCGCAGAACTACGAATTGTGTCGGTGATGACTGGTCGGGTGGGGTTGAAACGATGCTAGCCAGCGCCTGCCAATAATGCGTAGGAGGCCAGGCATTCGCGAGTTTGGACTTGGAAAAATCTCGAAGGCAAAGGGCAGCATATCCAGCTCCAAGACCCGTCATCCGCGTACTGTGGACCTGTTCACCAACCCAGTGTCCCCCTTCTTTCTTCCATCCCAGTCTCGCACGACCCTCTTCCGTCTTTTCGCTCCCTCGAATACCAAACAGGACCGGACACACAACTCGCATCTTCGCAATTAGAATGTCTATCAGTGGCCGATTTCTCCATTGGAACTGCGGATTTGAGAATACTGATATGGCAATCACACCAACTGGGTCTGCGGCTTTGGGAGCAACGCCAGCTTCTTCGATGAATTGGGTAATAATGGCCTTGCAAAAGACGTTGAGAAGGTAAATGAAGAGGGTGGGTAAAGAATCACCGTTGTGTGTTGCTTGGTCATCTGGTTCGGGTGTTTTAATCATAAAGGTGCTTGGATCGACAGGAGGACTTGGGTGGGTGGTCAATGCCGCTCGTAGTATATCCACGATTTTATTAAGCTATAGAAATGGTCAGTAGGAATTTGCATTTAGAATGGGCGCACTTACGGGAATTCTATTGGCCCCTTTCTCTGAAGTCAGCTGCCCGATTGATTGTCTAAGTGCCCTCCTCATTTCGCCAGTCTTCGTCTTGAGGGCTTTGTCAGCCTTTCCAGCATTGGTAATGAAAAGGCGTAGGTTTTTGAGGTTCTTGTGAATTTCAAGATATCGCTCGAGGCCTGGAAATACGTGCGATGGCGCGGTGGCATTCGAGGTTGGAGCTGTAACATGATTCTGAGGTTGTGGAGGTTTCTGGGGTGCCGGGGCCTGGAATTGAGGGGTTTGCGCAAGCCGTGAAGCTGGAGGAGGTTGTGTTGCGAAAGGATTCGGATTCGGATTCGCCGGAGTTGGTTGGGTTTGAGTTTGAGGTTGCTGTTGCTGTTGGGCTGCTTGCGATGGAGGGGCTTGAACTGGAGGGGTTGGAGCTGCCGGGGGATTTATTATTGGCGCAGGCTTCTGAATCGGAGCAGATGGAGCAGGAGGTGGTGGAGGAGTAGGAAGTCTTGGTGGGAGTTTTGGGATCTGTCGGGCCTTGTTCTCGAGTTCTCGAATGCGCACCAGTTCCACGGCGCGTTCATGCTCGAGATTGACGCGTTGCTCCTCTTGCTCAGTCTTTTGCCGTAGCCGCTGTTGCTCCTGGGTCAACTCGTATAGTGATAATGCTTCTATAGCAATTTCGCGCACTCGCTCTCGTTCAATGTGAGCTGTTGCAAGGGCATCTCGGTGCACATCTTCGCTGTTGCGATTCTCGAAGCGGGTATTGTAGTCGTAGTCGTGCCCTTCATGAATATGGCTCCTCCTCAGCAATGACGGCAGATCATCGTGAGAGGTTTGGTCTCCCATATTATTAACCTTGATTTGGCATTGAAATGGTGGCGATGTTGTGTTGGCGACAAGAGGTCGAGTTTCCTTTGAGGTTGCGATTCTTGATACTTCTGTCACGTATTGCATACCATACAAGCATTCCATTATTCTGCCATTGAAAGCTTGTCTGAATGGGCGGGCGGTGAAACATCAACTGCGGGTGGAGCTGCCAAGCTGCAGGATGACAGAATGACACTGCGCTTCTTAATGAACAGACGAAAAGGGGTTGTGGATGCTGTGAGGTATATACAAGTAGTAACATGCATTCACACGGATACTACTGTTATATGTTATAATTCCCTTGTATTTGATTTAGATGAAAGGTCATAATTACATAGCTAAAGTACCTCAGAGTACCCATTTAGACCTCAAACTATCGCCTTATTACTGCAGATCAGTCACGTGTCTCGTATACCATCTAACCGCATGCATCCTACGTCCAATCCCAAGCCGGGAAGTGTGCAAGTGCAACGCAACGCAACTTGAACTCGGCCCAAACGAACTCAGGCCAAACACCTCTATCGTTAGTCAATACAACATCTCCTCTCCTCCTCAACTCCTCCTCCACCACCACCACCACCACATTCCCTCCTCCACATCCTCGAATCGTCGAGAAGCACTCCTTCTATCCTTGATCCTCCTTCACATCCTCTCCTTTCGCCCTCCTTTGAATTCGATCGCGGAAACAGTCCTTCGAATTGCACTACGCAACGCAACAACCAGCCAAGCCATACCAGATATACCCACCAAACCATAAAATCCGCACTCGACGTGCTACTCCGTCATGGAGCACCAACAGAATCAACCTCAACCACCACCTCAGGGTGGTGTGCCGGGCCCAACTGGCCGCAGACTACACATTGCCCACCGAAGAAGCCCGTCTGAACTGACGCCTTTGATGAGCATGTTCTCGTCGCCTGGGAGTAAGTCTCTATCTATCTCTTCATCTGTCGTCATCGGATACCAAGTCAATAATCACTATGCTAACATACATCCTCCGATAGTGGAACAGCTCGCCATACAACAACAGATCGAGCTGCTTCAACAACAGCAGCAGCAAATCCAAGCTACCCACCAGCAATATGTCAACATGGGCATGATCCCACCAACCCAGCATCTGGCTCCTGGTGGAGGGTATAACCCCATTCAGCCCCAGATGCAGAACCTGTCCCCCCAAAGCGCATACCAGTTCCCCAACCAGATGCAGCAACAGCAGCCCCAGATGAATGCTCCCATGGGCGCTCCTACACAACCCCTATCACATCGTCGTAATCAATCGGCACTGCCCAACATGGGCATGGGTCCACCACCAGCTCCATCCTCCGGGGCAGCGGGCGCTTCTTTCGGAGATTTTGGAGGACACAACCGAGATGCGAGTTCTGTCCGCGGAGGTCGTGGGGGCGGACCTCCCGGTGGCGGCCATCAACGTCGCCACTCTCTTGCCTTACCTGAGGCCAAGAAGGCAGCAGAATTAGCACAACAAAAACGAACCACCTCAGGATTCCAATTTCCAATTCCAGGCACAACCGGTGGCACACCAACATCTGCCGAGCGCACCGAAAGTCCATCTGGCGAAGATAAGAATACCGCGCAGAGTCCGTTAGTGGGAAACCATGTCGTCTCAGGTGCAAATCTTCGTGCGCGAGGAAGTGGTCATGGTCGAAGCCAGAGCATGGCCGTGGGAGCGAACAATAGAGGTGGTTCTTCCATGCGCGGTGGCGGCTCATTCCAATTCCCCCCAATGCAAGCTACACCTGATGCCGGCGCAAGTGCCCAAGGACAAGTACAAGGACAAGGCAATGACTTCCAGAGACGCGGAAGCTCTACAGGCCACAACAGAAGCTCGTCACGCAACTTTGAGGGCAACTGGAGAAACCAGCCCCCACAAGGCCAGGTGCCACAGGATCAGCAAGGTCCAATGGGCAATTTCCAAGGCCAGGGGCAGCCACAGGGCGGTTTCCAGCCTGGACACCGTAATCGCCCCTCCATGAACCAATCTATCAACAATATTGGCAACTTTCAGTATGGCGCTCAGCCTCCAATACCTGGATTGCCCCAAGCCCAGATGGCTCTCATCCCACAGCATATGTACCCTGGCCAAACATTGAATCCCCTTCAGATGCACCAGCTCCAAGCACAGATTCAGGCTACTCAGATGAATGGACATGTTGGACTTCAAGGTAGCCAACACGCTCCTCAGCTCTCTGCACAGCAGCAACAGCAGCAGCGCAAGACTCTTTTTACCCCTTACCTACCACAAGCGACACTCCCTGCTCTCCTCGGTGATGGCCAACTTGTCTCTGGTATTCTCCGTGTCAATAAGAAGAACAGAAGTGATGCCTATGTGACAACTCAAGATGGTCTTCTCGATGCAGATATTTTCATTTGTGGAAGCAAAGACCGCAACCGTGCTCTCGAAGGTGACCTTGTTGCCGTAGAACTCCTTGACGTGGATGAGGTTTGGGGTCAGAAGCGCGAGAAAGAAGAGAAGAAGAAGCGCAAGGATATTACTGATACCAGAGGCGGTGGATCAACAAATGGCAATAACAACCAGTCGCACCGTGACAACTCGACCAATGGCGATGATCAGCCCAGTACTGGCGAGGGTACGATCCGCAGACGTGGCAGCTTAAGACAGCGCCCGACTCAAAAGAAGAATGATGATGTTGAAGTCGAAGGACAGAGTCTGCTCTTGGTTGAGGAAGAAGAGGTCAACGATGAGCAAAAGCCTCTGTATGCTGGTCACATTGTTGCAGTCGTTGAACGTGTCGCTGGCCAGATGTTCTCTGGTACCCTTGGCCTGCTTCGCCCCAGTAGCCAGGCTACCAAGGAGAAGCAAGAGGCTGAACGCCAGGCTCGTGATGGCAACAACAACCGCCACCAAGATTCCAGACAGCAAGACAAACCCAAGATTGTCTGGTTTAAGCCAACTGATAAGAGAGTTCCACTGATAGCAATTCCCACCGAGCAAGCTCCTCGTGACTTTGTCGAGAAACACATGGACTACGCCGACAGAATCTTCGTTGCTTGTATCAAGAGATGGCCAATAACCTCTCTTCATCCTTTCGGTACTTTGGTTGAGCAGCTTGGAAAGATGGGTGAGTTGAAGGTCGAAACCGATGCTCTACTCAGAGACAACAACTTTGCTTCTGATGAATTCTCGGATGCTGTCACTCGAAGTGTAGGTCTGGACGACTGGTCTCTTGCCAAGGAAGACGAGACTGCCATTGCTGCTCGCCGAGATTTCCGTGAAGAAAAAACCTTTACCATCGATCCCAACGGTGCCAACGAGCTGGATGATGCCATTCACGTCAAGACTCAAGATGATGGCAAGTTCGAAATTGGTATCCACATCGCCGATGTTGCCCACTTCATCAAGGCAAACTCCCTTGTTGATCGCGAGGCCAAGAAGCGGGGTACAGCTGTGTACTTGATGAACAGAGCCTGCGCGATGCTGCCACCAAAGATCTCTACTGAGATTTGCTCCCTAACACCCGGTCAAGAGCGATTAACTGTCAGTGTTGTCTTCAAGGTGAACGCTACCACTGGTACTGTCTCCGATGACGAGACATGGGTAGGAAAATCCATCATCAAGAGCTCTGGGAAGCTGAGCTACAAGGATGTTGATGCGATTCTGGCCGGATACACTGATACCAAGCTCGAAGGAGCCGAGGTCAAGGATATTCAAATCCTTCATGTAAGTCGAAAAGCCTCAGGGTGTTCCCATTTACTAACTCGTTGCAGGCTGTTGCGCAGAAATTCCGCGAACAACGTCTCGGAACCGACGGTGAGACCATTGCACCCCTGAGACTCATTTACCAGCTCGACGACGAGAATGTCCCAGTCGAGCATAACATTTTTGACTCTACCCCATCGCATGAGTTGATTGAAGAACTGATGCACAAGGCCAATGCCTACGTTGCGCAGAAGATCTCGAAGGGCTTGCCTGAGAAGGCACTCCTCCGCCGCCAAGGGCCTCCAAACCCTCGTCGACTTCAAACCTTTGCCGATCGGATGAACAAGATTGGCTACGAGATTGATACGACCAGCAGTGGAACTCTGCAAAACAGCTTGTTCAAGGTGGATGATACTAATATCCGAAAGGGTATGGAAACCCTCCTAGTCAAGACTATGCACCGAGCCAGATATCTCATCGCTGGCAAGACCCCGCCACATCTTTACCCTCACTATTCTCTGAATGTTCCCCTCTACACTCACTTCACCAACCCATCCCGGCGCTATGCCGATCTGGTCGTTCATCGCCAACTCGAGGCTGTCCTTTCCGAGGGCAAGATCGAGTATACCGAAGACCTCGAGACTCTCGTCAAGACTACCGAGTCGTGCAATACGAAGAAGGATTCCTCGCAGAATGCCCAGGAGCAAAGTGTCCACATCGAGTCTTGCAGAATTATGGACAAGAAGCGAGAAGATGCTGGTGGTGAGCTCATCAGTGAAGGAATCGTCATCTGTGTTTACGATTCTGCCTTTGATGTCCTTATCCCTGAGTATGGTTTCGAGAAGCGAGTTCACTGCGATCAGCTGCCACTGAAGAAGGCAGAGTTCCGCAAGAATGATCGCATTCTGGAGTTGTACTGGGAGAAAGGTGTGCCCTCATCAGCATACGTCCCCGAAGATGAACGCCCCAGGGCTGGTGCATCTCAACGGATGACCAATGCTGCCGCTGCAGCAAAGCAAGCTGCCGTCGCAGAACGCGCCAAGAAAGAGCACGAGGAGGCTCAGCGCAAGCAAATGGAGACCGGTACGATATCGACAGATGATGTCGATGCCCTCTTCGATGATGAGGATGATGCTTCCGATGTCGCCGAGAGTCTGGCTGGTGTTTCACTTGCTGAACGCCCAACTCAGAGCGTTCCTCCATCTCCTACCAGGAACTCTCTTACTGCTACCGGCAACCTTCACCGCACTCGATCGGAGTCCAAGGTCCCAACCAGCGAGTCTATCGATGCCAAATTGAGCCTCAGGGAGAAATACCTAAAGCTCTTCACCCTCCGAGAAGAGAATGGGGAGTACATTCAGGATGTCAAGGAGATGACTAGAGTCCCCGTGATTCTGAAGACCGATCTCACAAAGAGCCCTCCGTAAGTCACTTTAGGCCATTCAAATTGCTATTGCTAACATGTCTATAGATGCCTCACCATCCGCTCTCTTAATCCCTACGCCCTTTGAGAGATTACCAAGCAATTACATCGCCACTTACTTTGACCGCGGATTGTCGGAAGTATCAAACCCGTGGAGCAGATTCCTCATCAGAATCCGTGCAGTCGTCGGAAATGTTGTAGAATGGGAGGAATGTTGACGGGCAACATGGGGAAGGATACCGGTAGAATTAATTTTTCATTTGTGTAAGATTGTACCTGAAATAGTCGTGATGGGGATGCTGGCGAGGGAAAAGTCTGTGCTTGCACCCATTGGCGGGGAGGGGAGATAGGCATTGCGAACATATCAATGGCTTGCTCACTGTGTATTTCTTTACTTGAGCGGTTGCATTTATAGTTCTTAGCGTGAATCACATATTACACAAGGCGCAGTCTTAATACTGTATGGAAAAGTGCCTGAATTTACATTTACTTGTGTGGAAGTGGACATGTGTTGAAGTATATACTCAACCTAGGACGACTTTGGATGAGATAAGATTTCGCCGTTCTTTTCATTGACCAGACCTGCTGCGGTAGTGAGTCCTCGGCCTTGGTCTTATCTGAGTGGCATTAGCATGATCAGTAAGGAGTGCTCACGGGACGAAATGAAACATGGCGCATATTCCGCGTTGGATGCGACAGCAAGTGTCGAGTCCGACGGCAGCTGGATCTTCCGTACGCCTTGGCTATCTTGGCAGAGCTAGATGGAGTGGGATTTCATGACCATTTATCTGATTTTGGACAATTGATGTTCGTCCAATGTTGAACTTCAGGCGAGGGCGGGTTTTAAGGCCTGTTCTCAAACGCGGCTGAGACGAGCCCCCTTGTCTTGCTCCCTCCCCTGTTCCAAGTAAGCGACGGATATCACAACTACCATTATGCCACTGCGTGAAGTTTTCTTTTAATGGCCGCATGTGGATCTTGTGTGCTTATATTTATGCCCTTGAGTGGCCTCTTATTGGCTGCATTGTATATTCCCTAGCAGCTGGTTCCAGCTTCCAATAAGGTTGTCCGCTGTCTGATCTCTTCGGATGATGAGTCTTCCTAGCCAAGACTTTGTTTTTAAGCTTACTGTAGCTAAGCATACATCCTCCTCGGTCAAGCTCTGTCCCGTGAACTACCCAGGGTTTCCGAGGCTAGGCCTCCTCTTTATTAACCTTCTCTCGCTCCATGTTTAGACCGACTTACCACCACCACCACCTACTTTCGTTGCTTTTGTTCTTACGATACCCATTGAAGCGCTGGTTTGCTTTCACAAGACAATCGCTCTCACTCCTTTTGTTAATTCTTGGTCACGTCTAATATTCTTATAATTTTCTCTCGTTATAATTGATCAGGCTGGCCTTGTCCATATATATACATTCTTCCATTACACGATACTACAAAAGAAAAGACTCGTTCGAATCGATATTACACACAGATACATCGAGATGCCTAGCATAAGAAAGGCGTTAGGGGTTGTGGCTATTGGGATGGTGACATTTACTTCTGCTTTGCCGGCGATGCCAAAGCTTAGTCCTCGACTGTTGAAAATGTTCAATTTGGTCGAGAGACAGAACCCTGCGACAGGTCTACCAGATGGAATCACAGATACGGACATTCTTCAGTTGTGAGTTGAGTCAAGAGTCAAGAGAGCAGAGCGTGCTAATGTTTTTCAGTGCCCTCACTTTGGAATTCCTCGAGACAGCATTTTACCAGGAAGGGTTTTCGAAATTCGCCGACTCTGATTTCGCGGCATTAGGTCTTCAGTCAGCAGACATCACGAACTTGAAGTCGATAGGAGGAACTGAGCAAGTACACGTCACGACATTATTAAGCGCCATTGCAGCAACAGGAAGCAAGCCAGTAGCTCCTTGCACATACAATTTCGGACTTACAGATGCTGCGAGCATGGTCGCCACAGCCAGTATCTTGGAGAATGTGGGAGTTTCCGCGTACGTTCCTCTTCATTGTCAATTTTATTTATGATGAAAAGAAAAGACTAACACAACATAGATATCTTGGCGCTGCACCACTTCTCAAGTCCCCAGCAATCCTCTCCGTCGCCGCATCAATCGTCACAATCGAAGCCCGTCACCAAACCTTCATCCGCGTTGCATCAAAAGCAGCCGCCATACCCTCACCCTTCGACACACCCCTCGGCGTCCGCAACGTATTCACGCTGGCAGCAGGGTTTATTTCCGCGTGTCCAAGCGGTTCCAATCTAGCCGTCACTGCATTCCCCGCGTTAACGATGGCTGGTGGTGCAGGTGCAACGGCGAAGTTTGCGGCAGGTCAGAGCCTTGCGTTGAATAGTACCGCTTCGACCGGTGCGACGTTCTGCGCGTTCACGAATGGAGGTTTAGCTGGTGGAACGGCCTTTGTGCCTTTTGCGAATGGAGCTTGTACTATCCCGCAGGACCTGGCAGGTCTAACTTATGTCAACTTGGCCAATGCTGCGCCCGATACTGGCGTGTTGACTGATGCTATTACTGTTGCTGGGCCTATGGTTATGGCTGCTTCATAGATGGAGTAGCACAGTATGAGTGACAAGGTAGCTTGGGTGGAACAAAAGGCGTCGAGGTTTTGCCTAGAAGTGTGTTGGTGGCAAAATAGAGGAACGGGCATAATTACGCACATTGGCTATTATTTAGTGCGTTTATATGGTTAATATAACCATTAATCATATTCGATTCTGACTTTACATGCTGGTCATGCCATCAGTCCTTTTTTCTTCCGGCCTATTAGTACGTATTGCACGTGAATGTCATTGTGGATCGGGCCCCTTTGAACTCAAACTTAGGTACAAACTTAACCAAAGCTGGCAAATACTGTCTTTTTCAACTTACTCATTTCGTTGTTGATTTTATTAACTCTGGTAATACCAATTCTTTTTGACGGGCTCGTTTGCGGTCTGCGCTGTTAATGCTGCGGAATGGATCGTGGGGATAATCTAGTGAAAGACACCGTTTTGGCAGGTCAAGTGAGGTTATAGAGTTCATACCATTGCTGATATCAAGAAGGCTTAGCGTTAGACTGCCTTGAGCACGCTGAAGCTTCTCTTCATTTAATCTCATCTAGGAGAAAAGCCTTTGCTAGGACAGCTTCCTTAAAGGATGACCCTCGTAGCTATAGCCTATCCCGTACTTCTTAACTTCCCCTACTAGCTCAAGCCAAGGCCGGTGTTTCCAAGAGAATCAATAATTTGCAACTTCGCTCGCTAATTCCTTTCTACACTAAATTCTCATTCGTTTCGCAAACTGCCGCCACAAGATCCTCTATGCTTCTAGTGCGATCTGAAAGCTATCGGGCACCCAATGCAAACAAGTACCATAGCAATAGGTAAAGGTATTATGATTTCTCATCTCGAAATCCCTTCTCCGATCAGAGTTGCACACCTTCCGTTATCTTTTTAAAAACCTCAATCCCCTCTCGGCCAAACGCAGTCCCCACGCCTACGGCTGCAGCTCCTACGCTTCTCATCCTAGCAAACCCCGCAGCGTCACTCACTCCGCCTATTCCTGTAAGATTGTAGCATCAGTATCGTCCAATTGTAAGCCAATCAGTAATTCAATCTGGAAACTTCTTCTCCACCATCCCAGACATAACTCCAAAGACATTCAAGAGAGCATATTAAGTAAACAGATAAAAATGTGGAAACATAAATGAGATACTCGGACGAGATAGTAAGTTCACGTACCAATGATAGCAATTTCCCGTATTCTTCCATGCCGGGAAGCATCTAGCATACCCCGAATCGTCTTCACATTACCCAGCGCCAGCGGATGAAGAGCCTCTCCGGCCATGCCACCGATTCCCTCTCCATTGGCTGAGCCTAGCGCCGGCTTGCCGTCTGCGCGGAGCACCAGACATGAACCTAGTGTATTCGTAGCAGTGATGAATGAAATGGGACACCTCGAGCTCTCAAGGGTTTCTGAAGCTTCTAGCGCCTCGATCAGCGCGTGGAATTGGTCGGGGTAGGTGTATGGTGGTGTTTTTATCCCGACGTGTAGGGATGGGTGATTTGTGGATTGAGCTAGTGATTTTGCTTTTCCGATAGCGAGTATATATCTAGAGGTCCCGGAGTTAGCACTGCATGAGTTGGAGTTTGTGCATGGGCTTTAGTATCTCGGGACTCGGATCATGGGGCATTTTTCCATGGTACTACATTTTTCATTTTTAAAAGAAATTGATTGCATACTCAGCTAAAGATCTCGAGTCATAAGCTGGGGGAGGCTTATCAGGAATATTCGGGCAGGAAAGATTAATCTCCATCATGAGTTGCAATCCCGGTGCCTTTCGCTCATGTAATGTCTTTGCCATGAATGTATAGCCTGTAGCAAGCAGGCAAAGCCAAGTCAGTTTTTACATTTAATCAACAATTCTAGCAGGACGGAATTCTCGAGACAGCTAGAAAGGCTTAGAGAGGAAAAATTGGTGGGGGCATTGCGTACAACGACCAACTTCCTCGGTTGTACCGGTCACGGAAACAATAAACGGCTTCGGAACTGGATTAATAAGAATCCCAGCATCGTTCATACGGACCAACATTTCCATATAAGATTCAAAAGGGATCGGACTATAACCAAGCGTATTAAGGCTATTCCCCTCCAAGGCCCTTACTTCACCCCGTCCTTCAGCACCGCTAGTATCGACAGCCGCTGTCGCATGGCCACGAGTGCTAGAGAAAAAAGTGTATTGATGTGTCGACGAGTGCTGGGCGAAGCTAGACCAGAGAGAGGTGCGGATTGTGACGGCGCCTGTATAAGGGCAGGAATACAGAGCTGCGAGGTCTGCTTCTGTAGTTGCCCAGGGGTTGGAAGAGTTGAGGAGAGGGGGGTGGATTTGGAAGGGTGGGAGAGACGATAAAGACATTGCAGGGGTAGAGGAAGAGGTAGATATGCCGTCCTAGACACGAAGATGGGAAAGCTGCACCTGACTCTGGGTAGGTATGAATGTTTCAAGTACTCTATATAGAGGAGAGATGAATAGAAGATGGTTGGATGCTGTAAGATAAGGTTGTCCCTATAAAAGTGGGTCATAGGGTTATCAGCCCGTCCATAAGGTAGACTTTCATAAGGTACTAAATATGATAGAGACTAGTATAAAGAAAGGGAATTTCAAACTAATAGCGAATCAAATAGCTGTAGCAAATAGTTGAACATATTTATAGTTCATCATTTCTGTCGATAACCCTTTTTATTATACAAAGGCAAAATATCTAGGAGGAAAGAAGTATCACTCCTGCTATAGAAGTGAAGTGAAGTCCATCTTTGCCTCTTGATTAGACGAGCACGAGCACCAGGGGTTTGGTAAGGCTATGGGGTAGGTTCACGTAATGACCCTGTACCTCCGCATGGAGTATAACAATCCTTCACAATACAACACAGCCACGATGACTGTTGACCGATCTTTGAGCTCAGCCACCTTCTCCGCACTATTAGCACTCTAGCAAGCTTGCTTCGACCAGATCATTTAAAGGACAATTACTCGTTCTCATTTACCTGAACTTCTGATGATGTTTGTTCTACTTTTCGATCAACTTGACACTGTGAAAAGTCATGTCGCCTAGCTCAAAGTCCATGTCACATCTGCTATTACTACCAGTAGACATTCAAATCCTAATCATCCCATACCTCGACTTCACCTCTCTCATCTCACTTGCCCAAACCGCTCAACTCTTTCGAGACCTGATAAATGCCCAACGCCGCCATTTCGTCGGGCGCCTGCTGGAAATAGAATGCCTGCCAAAGAATGGCGGTGAAGTGACCCTCGATCTGCTCAAAGTCTTCCCGCCAGCCGTCCGATATGCATGTACACGGTGCCTGAAAATCCTCCCCCACACAAAGTTTGACAACCATGCTCTCCTGCGTCTGCGCTTCCGCAAGCCACCGCCCGAGTCTCGAGCCGGGAAGCAGCTATGCAGCTGGACGAGCGGCGATGCGAAAGCACAAGGTCTGAAAAGACAAGGGGATTTGGCAAACGACCGATTTGAGAAGTGGATGGCACGAGAGCACCCTCTCGTCTTCGCGCCTACACCAGAACTCAAGGAAGAGTGTAATATCGGTACATGCCGCCACCGGCGAACGTGCAACGAATGCAAATTCCAAAGCGGCTTCTGGGCCCAAAACTTCAACCTTACCCGGGGCTGGCGTCGGCAAAATGGCAATTGCAATCAGAACGTAGGGACCACTGTGCCCGTAATCAAAAGCCGGCAGGTGTTTACGTACCATGATGCATCTGAGCGCTTTTTCCCCGGCTTGTTCCCCTACACGGGGGACTTTCCAGCCAGACGCAGGATGTACCGTGAGTATCTGATCGATTGCCAGCCCTGGTGTCTATACACAACGCGCTGTCCGGGCTGCGAACGCTGGCAGGAATTCGCAGCGTTCAGACAGCCGCGGATGCCAAAATCCCGGCCTCGAGACGCGCCGGCGTGGGATGTAGGGGACTGGGATGCCAAGGTTGAGGAATGGAGATGTAATGGTTGCGTTGCGGCTGCTGAGGGAGAACAAGAGCTGGGGAGGCAATTGGTGGGGTTGTGGAAGACGCTGGCAGGGTCGGAGGTTAAGTGGCTTGAATATTGCCTTGTAGATGGCTGGCGCTACGTGGGTCATCTGGAACGTGAGAACAAGGAGTTCTCGTGGAAGTATGTTTATAGGAGGGCGCGAGAGGAATCCCAGCTGTGGAGACAAGTACCTAGTGTGGGGGAGATTGGGAAGATGAGTGATGAGGCGAGGAGAGAGATGTACGGGATTTGGAAACAATATCTTCAGGAGCATGACGAATGGCCGGCAGGGGACTTGATAAACAATCCGTGGTTCAAGGACTGGACATACGGGTATGAGGCAATAGAGAAGAGGGCAGCGTTTTTGAGGGCGTGTACAGATAGGGTGGAAGCTGATCCGGGGATGCTGGTCGAGTATGCTTTGAGAGGAGAGGGGTACGAGGCAATGGTAATGTCTTACTAGGTGGGATAGAAGCCGGGGGCATATTGTCTGCGGACGAGGAGGGCACGGTGCTGTGTAGAGTACCTACCTATATAATGACCATATGATAGCCATCTGAGTAAAATACAACATTTGTGGATGAATTGCAACAAGAAGTACACTTACCTGCCCTTCTTTCTTTCTCATAAAGTATGCGCAGTCGATGGGACCGGGTATTAGCACAAGGCTGTGCCCAGAAGAAGAACAGAGATGGGCTTTCAGCTTTCAACGTGAAGGTCGTGACTACAGTAAGGGAAGGAGGAGGAAGGAGGAGGAAGGAAGCATAGAAACACCTTTTCAATCGCGCATACATTCCACATACGCAATGCAAGTAATAGAAATGGGATACGAAAAGATCACCGAGTAGGAGAGCGGGGAATGCGAGACGAGGACAAGGCTGAGGTGGATGAAAAATCTTCAAGCCTCGTTCGTCTCTCTTCTCTCATCCGATTTCGGCGCCGCCTTGAAAACGCAGACCACCGCATGACAGTACGGGAGTGTGTGGGGATGCTCGCATGTTACGAAAAGATTTTCACGTTGTATCTCGGAGCAGAGCAGAGGAGTAGATGGAGGGAGAGAGAGAAAAAAAGAGTCGATTTTTGCTGTCACTCGTCTCACTCGGAGGAAAGCGGAGAGGACTTCCGCGGGGTGAGCTCATGCAAGTACGGGGGGTTTACAGGGAGAGCTCACAGGCAGGACGACGCTAAATAATGTGGTACAGTACGGGGGCTCGGGGGGGCACGGTATCGGATCGCACCTCACTGCATCTCGCTGCATCTCACTAGCCATTGACGAATCAGCGTCGGACGATAAGATGGGTGACATTGGGGTTTTATCAAATAAAGAGGCTGCCACATGTACCGAGGAGAGATTGACAGGATGTGAGATTCAGTGAGAACAAGTAAGAGTGAAGATGGCCGTAATAGTCTGGTCTGGACGTGGGGCAGGACAGGGTAGGTCGATGAGGCGTCCTACCACCGATTGCGGCGCTGGCTGGGCTGAGGAACTTCATACTAGGGGGGGGAAGAGAGAGAGAGAGAGAGAGAGAGAGAGAGAAAGAAATCCCCGGTATGAGGGAGAGAGTTTGAGACTGAGTGCTGAGTAGTAAAGCTAAGAAACACACTCACTCCCCATTTTCCCATTTTCTCTTCTCTTCTCTCCTCCTTGCATCAAGCAGCTCGAGGTGCCTAGCTAGCTCATATCATCCCATCCAAGCTTCAAGCTCCCCCACTACCTACTAAACACCCTAAGGTATCCATCCATAAAAGGTCCTCTTCCCCTCGGTCCTGCTCTTCAGACCACTTTCTTCTGTTACAAAATACCATCTCATACCTTATATTCTACACTTACTTGCAGACTTAATACCCAATTGCTTCATTACACACAAAGACAGACCGACCATAGCAAACATGTCAAACCTTCCCTCCGAGCCCGAGTTCGAACAGGCCTACAAAGGTATGTCCTGAACCATCTCATCCCTTCCCTTCCCCTCCCTCCCCTCTTCTGCCCCACCGCAACTCAGACTGACCTCATCCCCTAGAGCTGGCCTCAACCCTCGAAAACTCGTCCCTCTTCGAACAACAACCGGAATACAGAAAAGCCCTACAAATCGCCTCGATCCCCGAACGCATCATCCAGTTCCGCGTTGTCTGGGAAGACGACAAGAACCAAGTACAGGTCAACCGCGGCTACAGAGTCCAGTTCAACAGTGCACTGGGTCCTTACAAGGGAGGATTGAGATTCCATCCTACCGTTAACTTGAGTGTGCTCAAGTTCCTGGGCTTCGAGCAGATCTTTAAGAATGCCTTGACCGGACGTAAGTTGCTTGCTTCTGAACACGTGATACCGCCCCTCTCCTCTCCTTCCATGTGGATTAGTTACTAATAATACGATCAACAGTAAACATCGGCGGTGGTAAAGGTGGTGCCGACTTCGACCCAAAAGGCAAATCCGACAACGAGATCCGCAAGTTCTGCGTGTCGTTCATGCGCGAGTTGTCCAAGCACATCGGCGCTGATACCGACATTCCAGCTGGTGACATTGGTGTTTCGCCTCGGGAGATCGGATGGTTGTTTGGTGCTTACAAGGCGGAGACGAAGAAGTGGGAGGGAGTGTTGACTGGAAAGGGAGGATCGTGGGGTGGGAGCTTGATTAGACCTGAGGCTACGGGATATGGATTGGTTTACGTGAGTCTTTCAGTTGTTGCGTTGCGTTGGTACAAGTAAGCACTGTAACTCAACTGACATCTACACAGTACGTAAACCACATGATAGCCCACGCAGGCCAAGGCTCCTTCAAAGGAAAAACAGTAGCCATTTCCGGCTCGGGCAACGTCGCGCAATACGCAGCCCTAAAAGCGATCGAGCTGGGCGCAACAGTCGTATCCCTCTCGGACTCCAAAGGCAGCATAATCGGAAGCTCCATCTCGCCCTCTGAAATCCACGCCATCGCCGCGCTGAAAGTAAAGCGTCAATCGCTGACCGAGCTGAAAAGCGCACACAAGTATATCGACGGCGCGCGCCCATGGACGCACGTCAAGGTGGACGTCGCACTGCCGTGCGCGACGCAGAATGAGGTGTCCAAGGAAGAGGCAGAGGCCCTCGTAAACAGCGGCGCGCGCTTCATCGCCGAGGGCTCGAACATGGGCTGCACGCAAGAAGCGATTGACGTATTCGAGGCCCACCGCAAGTCGCACAAGGACAAGGCCATCTGGTACGCGCCGGGCAAGGCAGCCAACGCGGGGGGAGTAGCAGTGTCCGGGTTAGAGATGGCGCAGAATTCGCAGCGGATGAGCTGGTCGAGCGAGGAGGTGGATGAGAAGCTCAAGGGGATCATGGAGGAGGCCTTCAAGATCGGGTTGCAGACTGCGCAAAAGTATGTCAAGGGTGGTGAGGGGGAGTTTCCTTCGCTGGTTGCTGGGAGTAATATTGCGGGGTTTGTCAAGGTGGCTGCTGCTATGCATGCGCAGGGTGATTGGTGGTAGATGCTTCTCGCTGGGACGAAGGCATAGCATGATATGAAGAGTTTTGGGATACATATGTATATGGTAGAAGTAGGTTATCATATCAGGGCTTTTTTTCTTTCTTTCTTCCTTCCTTTATTTCCTATTAGGATAGATATCCC